TCAGAAGTATTTGTAAGGTTTGTAGTAATATTGTTTTTAATAAACAAATGTATGTAAATAACCACTTTCATTCGGAAATCCTGTACTCATAATAAAGAAATACAGGGATTTGAGACTAAATATGTCTAAATGTTGTCTCAAGAGGGTTTTGAAGAAGGAACGCAAACGCACACGCATACACGAACACACACACACACACACACACACACACACACACACACACACACACACACACACACACACACACACACACAGTAAGAGGATTGGACTGTTACTAACAGAACATCACGTTAGACTTGTAGAAACCATGATAGGATTATACGGCTTGTGACTCCTTGTTAATGTTATAAGAGTACGCGTGACCGCACGGCCCGAGCCCAGGGAGACTGCCAACTGGAGGCGTTGACGGTATGGCGAGAGGACTCCTCGTCACGGGGTTTCCCACGACGATGAACCAGGTCAACTCGCTCTGTCACAAGAGGCACACAGGTCAATGGTAATTAAAAAGAATGACCAAGGCTGTGTAGCTTGGACCTGAGTCGCCATCTTGGAATCATTTAAAATATATAAATTCGTAGGCTTTGTGGCCCTGGTGACCAGATCAGTTCGCAAACGAGATTTATTGAAAATGAGAAATTTTGAAATCGTCCAGAATTGCAACTTGTGGTCTGAAGAGGAAAGGGAAAGGAATGAGTGCAAGTGGGAGAGGAGAAGCAACGCGGTAAACACACGGCAGGTGAACGGAAGGGAACTGCGGTTAAGTCAGATTGAAAGATCAAGCGGTCTATGCAAAGGACTGCCGGTTTAAGGGAGAAGGCAGAGGATGTGGGAAGCAAGGGGACTGTCGGCAAGAGGAAAACCACTGTCCAAGTTTATCAGTTTGATTAAGGTGTACATCACCGGAAGGAGAGACAATTCGTGCAGGTGTGATCCCACTCATGACTGAAGAGGGCGTATCTATGGTGAGAGAGGTGCTTAGTGAGACTGGCGACTGTCTCACCAAAGTACTGCTTATCGCAGGAGGTGTAAGGAGGACTGGTGCGGACCAAGTTCCAGTGGAATGTTTACCTGAAGAAAGATAAACCTGCCTCAGTGTAGGGCAAGTCGAGGACGGACAGGTGAGGAGTCTCTTTAGGAAAGGAGTCGTGGTAGAAGTTCAGACGTGAGACTGGATAACGCACGGTCGGGAACGTGATGAGGGTAGCCCAGTTAAGAGAAGGAACAACTCAATCCATGTACTCGGGGTCACAGATGCGGAGAGAGCGAAGAAACAGCGATGTGGCACCTCTCTCTCTCTCTCTCTCTCTCCCTCCCCCCCTCTCTCTCTCTCTTACTCTCTTTCTCTCTCTCTGTCTCCCCCCCCCCCCTCTCTCTCTCTCTCTCTCTCTCTCTCTCTCTCTCTCTCTCTCTCTCTCTCCCCCCCCCCTTCCTCCCTCTCTCTCTCTGTCTCCCCCCCCCCCTCTCTCTCTCTCTCTCTCTCTCTCTCTCTCTCTCTCTCTCTCTCTCTCTCTCTCTCTCTCTCTCTCTCTCTCTCTCTCTCTCCCCTTCCTCCCTCTCTCTCTCTTTCTTTCTCCCTCTCTTTCTAGTAAAAGCTTGAGTGGCTTAACACTCTTTATTCTCTAAGAGATTAGCACACGGGGTAAGGTGAACACAACGAGACAAGTCTGGGTCCGCGAGGAGGCCCGGTGGTGAGCCCTGACCTGAGCCGGACAGGCTGGCCGCGAGGGTTGGGGTGACCTCGGGCACAGCGGAGCACACTCTCAATGAACGGGGTCAACCTTGGAGTATAAGTAGCGGCGACCACCGGAAGCAGTGGCGGAGCCACCAGCTGGAATGGGACGCACCCAAGCGTGGTTATGCATGCGTGGCTAAAGAAACTGCCACGTGGCCTGTACACAGTATATTAGTATATTGTATACTGTCTCTCCCTCTCTCTTTCTCTCTCGCTCTCTCTCTCTCTCTCCTCTCTCCTCTCTCTCTCTCTCTCTCTCTCTCTCTGTCTCTCTCTCTCTCTCTCTCACTCTCTCTCTCCCCTTCTCTTTCTCCCCCCCCCCCCTCTCTCTCTCACCTCTCTCTTTCTCTCTCTCTCCTCTCTCTTCTCTCTCTCTCACACACACACACACACACACACACACACACACACACACACACACACACACACACACACACACACACACACACACACATATGCATTCACACACACACATATACATACATACACACATATGCATTCACACACACACACATAAACATACATACATATATATATGCATTCACACATACACATATACACACACACACACACACACACACACACACACACACACACACACACACACACACACATACACATATGTATATATATATATATGTATATATATATATATATATATGTATGTATTTATGTATGAATATATATATATGATATATATATATAATATATAAATATATATATGTGTGTGTGTGGGTGCACACACACACACACACACGTGTATATATATGTGTGTATGTGTGTGTGGGTGTGTATGTGTGTGTGTGTCTGTAATATTCATAGGAACATCCCACCGCTGCCACCAGTGTAAGAGTTATATAAGGGATCTCTAAACATTGGTGACAGGAGTAGTAAAAGCTTGGTGGCTTAAATCTCTTTTATTGATAAGAGTTAGCACACAGTGAATAAAAACAAGGATGACAGTTGGGTATCGTGCGGTCGGCTGGAGGATCGCCTGGGGTCACTGGCGGCCCAGCCCAGGTCAGACGTGACCTCGACCGCGGCACAGAACACTCTTGTCTTGACCGGGTCAAAACGAGGCCTTAAGTATCCAAGACGCTGGCTTGGGGGGCGAGGAGAACCGCCCAGCCGTTTTGGGCACGCTGCTCAGGGCGTGTCGCCACGTGGCCACTGCAAGCCTCCACGTGGGGGCCACGCAGGCATATTATACCGATTTAATACACTATATTGCTCGGCCACCTACTCACGGCTCGTCCTCAAGGCGATCTAGACTTCCTCAAGGGTGACCCAACCTGGCTGGTTCTAACTTGTTCGTCCTCGATCTCGGGTGCGGTATCCTTGGTGCATCTCCGTGGCTACTCGTTCTATGTCGTCATCCTCGCTCTGGTCCCAGGGAATCAGTTCGTTCTCGACATCCTCACGTCCAGGTCCTTCCTTCTCGTGCTCGTACAGACGTCCTCGTAATCTTCATCAGGATCTACGGGTGTCCGGCAGGAAGCGTCCTCTTCAACATCGTAGGGCGGCTGATACCTGCACTAATGAGCTCCCGGAGTTTGACTGGGTCTCTGTGGCTCCGCCCTGCTTCCGGTGGTCGCCGCTACTTATTCTCCAAGGATGACCCTGTCAAGTCAGAGTGTGCCTGGTGCTGGCTGACCCAAGGTCGGCAGCCTGTCCGGCTCAGGTCAGGGCTGACCGTCCCCTCCCAGCTGACCGCGCGATACCCAAGTGTCATCCTTGTGTAAACAACTACTTGTGCTTACTCTTATCAATAAAAGAGATTTAAGCCACCAAGTTTTTACTACTGTCACCAATGTTTAGAGGTCCCTTATATAACCCTTAAAGTGTCTGTGTGTGTGTGTGTAGGTATGTGTGTGTATGTGTGTGTATAGGACGATAAGAGTCTTATGAGAATTACTCTGGTAATATGAGTACAGCATTCTATCTCAAAGAGGACCTACCTTTGTAGTGGGTCTATTCGCCCACTCCTTGTCCTACCACGCCCCCCCCATGGCACGTTCCAAATTCAGTGAACCCGGTGGAAAATGGGCACCGAGAAGTACGAGTTTCATTGTCCTTTTAAATGTCATATTTTATTCAACCTAAATTATACTTATCTCTCGAGGTGGAACTGCGGGGTGCCTCCAGTAAGCATTGTGCGCGCACGTACGTGGGCTTAGCTACGTTCACGCAAAGATGTTTGCTATTCACCTGCCCAGTAATTTGTGTGAGGACACTTATCTCACCAGGAGGATAGTGTCACGTAAAATAAGTTGTATTTGTGACCATTTTCTACAACACGACTGGATGGCGTCTGCTAGTGACGTCATGCTAGTGGTTTATGTCGCCATTAGTGACGTCATAAACCGTGACAAGGCTGCCACTCACGGGTATCCATGTCGTCGAGCCATTAGCTAATGCCCTGGCTAGGGGGCGTAGATATCCCCCCCCCCCCAAAGAACTTTGGGAGTACCGGCAGATCTGGTCTCGCCTCCTTACTGCTCGGAACCCGCTGCTAAAATCAACAAAGGTCACTGTCAGTACTATATGGTTTACTGGGAATTCACCACTGTATATGTCTGAATCCTTAGCGACTGGTGCAAGGGTGGTTAACTGGTAGCTAGGCTCTTTAACGAAAATAAACCGGCAAGCAGCGCATTGGTATACTTCATTTCTCTCGGCTAATTAGTGATGAAATGTTCAGTTTAAAGTACTGTGGATATAAACTATTCATGCATTACTGATAATTTGCTACGTTTAGGTATAAATGAAATATAGTTCAAATCTAGTTGATTTACAATCAATACTATATCAATACTAACAGAACTCATGTGTATGTGAGTGCCGTGACCTGGACTCCCCCGCTCATCCTACTTTGGACGCTAGCACATACATGCCCGGTGTACGATGCGTGGGTGGCCAGGTTGTGCTCGCATCAGGTAAACCATGCATTAAGGGAGATGCAGATCAGGTCTCCAAGGGACAGTGACCTGGAATTGTTCTGATATCAGGTTAACGTAGCAATACTGCGTTACTGTTACCTTACACCTTAACTTGGGGTGCGTGCACAAAGAAAGCAGGGTTAACCACGCAAACTACCCGATTAAACCATATAAACAAGTATAGGGTTTTGACCTAGCCTGACCAATCAGAACGAGCCTGGTAACCGTTTCGTTGAGACTTCCCACCTCGGCCCTTGGCACACCACCCCTTCAGATCTTGTTTCCAGTTGCATTATCTCTTGTATTTATCACTGTTTGTTGTGCTCTTT